ACCCGGACACCACCAGGTGCCTCCGGTCGACCACCAGATGCTCCGGTCGACCACCAGGTCCCCCTGGTCGACCACAACTCCTTCTGGTCGACCGCAAGGTGCTCCTGGTCGACCGCAGCTCCCGTCGAGCTACCCCATGGTCGACGGACCCCTTCCGTCGACCAGAACTGCTCCGTCGACCTCCCAGTCGAGCAGCAGGGCGACGGGATGCTTCGCGGACCTCCCGGTCGAACTGTAGGTCGACGGGATGCTCCGCAGACCTCCTCGTCGAGCTGTAGGTCGACTGACTGCTCCGTCGACCTCCTGGACGGCCCACCCGTCGCCCAGGCCAGTCAGACACGGCTGTCGAGCTCCCTGGTCGACAGCAACACCACAGCGGTCCCCTGCAGCTCGACGAAGCCTGTCGAGCAGCTCTCCCACCGTGAACGGTCGGCTGCAACTCCCGTACATCCGACCAAGTCGTCGGCGTTGCCCAAGCGAGGGCGGGGCCAACACTCCACTCCCGTTAACATCGAGATGCATTTGCTAATGTTCCTCATCGGATCAGCGAAAAATGTTAAAACCCCTGTTTAGGTTGAAGATCTCGCGTCGCAAGTTTACTATTCCTGCATTCGTTTTTCCCACCAAGTAGCTCTCACATCTGCGCAAGTTTAGTAAACTTGTAAACTCTCAGATTTTGGGTTTTAACGATTAGCCTCCGTACACCTCTAGGGAGGAATGATTGTATGCATGTTGACCAAGGAAAAAATATTATTTTATAATGCACAATATGCATCTGCCCGTGCATCATCGTCAGCACGCACGGCAAAAAACATCACGTACAAGACAATAAATGTACTTGCCTACAACAAAAGTTATCACACGCGGATGTTACCAAATTTGTGCTCGCGCGCAGACGAAAAAACCAAATGTGTCAACACACCTCGTCAGATGCATGATTGGCTACATGCGGAAAGTTTTCTCACGCGGACGCGGTTCATTTTGTGTTCGCTCGCAGATGACAAAAAACTATCGTGTGCACAACTACACCTCACCAGAGGCATAATCGGTAATCCGATGAAATTGGTGCATTTCTGTTCACAAGCAGACGACAAAACCGGATCTTGTGAACACCTTCACATTGTCAGAGGCAATTGGTACATTAACGCGTCCACGTCAGTGCGCACTCTGTGGGACTCTGACTAACTTGTGGCGGAGTTCCGAGTGCGTTTGCCTCAGGGTTCGAGGCCTTGGATCCGTGTGATGCGGATTCTGAAGGGCTTGGGCGCAAGGCTCCGTCGCATACGACAAGGCCAGTCGTCCACGGTTCCGCGCCCACCTGGCCGTGAAAACCCGCGGATCAATTGGCCGACGGGTCCTCTATGCAGAGATGGTCGCGATCAAACCCTCGGATCAATTGGCGATTGCTATACGGCAAGCCAGTATAGGACGCTGCATCTGACCATTCTGCGGAAACAACTCGAAGAGATCTGGTGGCGGTCGCCTCCGGCACAAATCTCACTTCCTCTCTGGAAGGCTCTGCAAGTCCCGGTAATGATGCACCTCGGTCACCAATTTCTAGGCAGAGGGTGCAGCATTCGAAAGATTCGCCTTGGGAACATGTTTGTCCGTATGACGCGGAGCACATCACACCTCGACGACTTTTTGGACGTTTTCGTACTCGTCGTTGTTTCTAGGAAGTCGAAGACCAACCCCAGCAACAAGCTGAGTCACAAGTTTCTTGCAAGGCATAGGGACTGGCGGCTCTGCGGGATGGGCCATGTTTTCCTGTGGCTTCATTTCATCTACGACCTCGTCCCTCTGCGCTACGGCCCCGGAATCGTCGAGCCTCTCGACTTTTCTGAACCGATCAAGTGGACTAAAGCGCACCTCTTCTTTTGCTTGAAGAAGAATAGTGACAAGGGAAAGCAGAAGCAAGATGCGATGCACTACAAAACGCACTGCACCTAGATTTGCTGGGCCATGAAGAAGGCGGAATGGATTCTAAGCAAGGTGACACATGCGTTCCGCAGATCTGGAGCCCAAATACTCCATGACGACGGTTGCTCCGACATTGACATTGACACTTTGGGCGGATGGGCGCAGGGGGAGATGCGGAGGTCTTATGTTATGGGCATTCCGTTCAAGCCGGTTTGGCTACTGGCAGGATTCAGCGGAGATCGTGGAGACTACTACATCGGCAGAGACCGCGCTAAGCTTCCGCGTCATAAGGATAAGGAGAAGGATGAGTGGTTGCAGCTCCTGGATCTCTTGAGCCTTCACATCTTCCCCTGGGTCAAGGAGGGTTGGAAGAAGGTACGTGCGAGTGTCGACTATCCGCGTTCGCAAATGTATTTTATACGCAAATATGAAGCGTGGCATTTCTCCTGCCTACTCGTCCCCTTAGGCCCAAGCATGGAACGATGCGCAGACCGACCCGCTGAAAAGGCACTATGCGGGGGTGATGTTCCTTGAGACCCTCGCGACCATCGGCCGCCTCATTGTTGCACAGGATCTGGCTATGATGTGGGCGTTCTGCCATCAGCACGGCGTGAGAATCCCGCGGTGCAATTGCCAGCGGCATCCATATGTGCAGATGAGCCCCCTGTGCAACCACCCGCTGTTCCAAAAGTGGGCGTACCTGGTCGCTAGCTTTCACTTAGAGGGCGAGAAGCTTCGGGCGACCGCCCAAACCACTGCCAAAGCAGTACGTGTGTGCTATTAGTGGTAGACAGATTTTTCCGTTTGAGCAGAGTTCTTACGGTATTGTTTCTGCATGATGCTATCTTTCGCACGACCGCCGAGGAAAAGATGCAGAAGCTGTATCTCACCGCCAATATGCTCAGGGAGGATCTTGGGATATTGAGAGGTCGTGCAATGCAGTTGGCGATGGAGAACGCGAAGCTAAGGGAGGAACTCGATGCTGAGCGAGCGGATAAAGCTCGGCTCATGGCCGAGTTCGAAGCTTTCAAGAGGTCTGTTGCGGCCAGAGCTGACGCTGCAAACGCCTCTGCTGAGGTCGACGGATCGTCGAAGAGTGCGGGAGTGGGTGCAAGAACGGACGCATCCAAAGCACCTGTTGCGGTGGAAGATTTCTTCGACGTGGTCGTTGTGTATTGGCGCGAAGCCGAAACTGTTGCTGCTGCCTGGAAACTGTGGGTGCAGCCAAGCCAGATCATGGGCGGCAAGACACTGGCCGAATTCTGTGCAGAGTTCGGCCGGGATACGAAAAAGAACAACAGCTTCATCATCGCATATTCCCGGTTCGCGGCGAAAGGTACGCCCGTGATGACTGTGGGTGCATGCGAGCGAAAGATGCGTCGCGTGCATCGTGTCATGGTCTCCGTGGTGACGTTAAGAAAAGACAGCTCCGAGGCGGCGACCGCAACGGCCGTTAAGCTGCTGGACGAGGTGTTCGCTTTGTGCAACTTCACCGAATTCACCAACGGCCTGGCGGTGCTTCAAGAGACTCCGCCCAACAAGAAACAGAAAACCGGTTCGTCGACGGAAGAAAACCGTCAACGACTTGGCGCAATGTAAAGTGAGCTGGCTGCTAGTCAATAAAGGCTTGCGGGACAAGGAGTGGGCAACATCGCTGTTTGGGGATGATAGGTGGGAGGAGATCCACAAGGAACAACTGGCTAAGGAGAAGGCGGAAGAGGAGAAAAAACGAACCGATGCGGCGAAGAAGGCGGAACTGGAAAAGGCGAAGGGCGATGCGTCGAAACGCTAGGCGCAGAAATGCGGCGGCATGTTGCTTTAGGCTAGTGCTGTTTAGTTATTTGTGTACTTTTCTAAACTTGTGGCTATTGCTCCCCGAATACGATTTGCACTTTAGTGTCTATGTAGAAGGCCGCTTCTCGGGCTTGTATGCCACCTTCTGCTAAGTACAAGGTGTTTTTCGTAGAATGTTTTCCAGGTCTCTGCTATATCAAACGCACTCTGTGAAAGTCTATGCGGTTTTGTCTCGCATTAGGTTTCTCATATCGTTGTGTCACATACAACATTGTGGCGGAGTGTTCTTCGGCTGTTACTTGTAGATACGCGTTGCGGAAATCGACATTGATGTTACACTGAGATTTGTGTCTGCGGTCTCGTGTCGGTAACGATTTTACTATACGGATCGGCATCGATGAGATCACTTTCTGCATATGTTCCAGGGCATAGGAGTGTCATATTGTACTCGTAGTATGGAGATCCCTATCCATGACGTGATTTTATGCGTAGGGTTAGCTTTTGCGATTGGATGCCGAAAAGGCTTTTACTCAACCGCATTGTGCGTTGACGTCTCTGATGTTCGGCCTAAGCGGTTTTCCATCTTCTCTAGGCACATTCATAATCGTAGATGTGTGTTCTTATGCCACTCGGTATACTTATGCGATGTTGTTATCCCTACGAAGACTTTCTGCGGTATAGTGTAGTATACGATTTAGCGCCACAATTAGGCGTCGATGAATTCAAACTCCACAGAAGAATGGTTAGTGCATAGGACTGTCGTATACGACTCGTAGCAAGGTACTCCTAATGACAAAATTTAGCTTGTAGCCCATTCGTGTTAATGTCGCATACGTAGTCTATACAGTAGGGCGATGACATCGTCGATCTTCAACCTCTGCGGATTTCCAGCTGTTCTGTGTCGAAGACCACATGTCGCCAAGCGATGGCGATGGTGGCTTTGATCGTATGCATAGGCTCCGCTTCGGCCATCACCTCTGGAAGACCATTTGTCGCTAGGGATTGTGTTGTTTTCGAGTATGAACTGCAGAACAAGTGTCGTAGAAGGCGAATATATTATTCGACTGGCGCTCACGTTGATGGTGTGATGCTTAACCAGCATTTCTACATTCATACGCGGCTCAAAACATTCGCTAGTGTACTTTTGGTTTGCAATCAAAGAAAACAATCATGTTGGTCTTGTATACAACAGCACCTACATTTATACAAGGTATTTCAAAAACATGGAAAAGAAACAACTTGTATAGCGGTCCTATACGCTCCACAAAAAACCCTAGCCCACTCTATCACTCCTGCCCGCCGAGGCTGGTGTTCTCCTCCGTCGATGCCTCCTTTGTCGCGTTCCCCTTCGCGGACGACTTCTTGGTCTTCTTCTCCTTATCCGATCCGGTTGTAGTGTCCCGGCTGCCCAATTTCTTCTGCAGGACTCCGAGGCTGACGCCCTGGTGCTGGCGAAGCCCTCTTGATGCCATGCTGCATAGGCACCAAGAGGTCACCACCTTTGCCACCACCCTCGTCATCCGCTTCGTATCCCCGCCCGCTTGCGACTCTGCCGGAAGCGCTTTCAGCAGCGCATTCGACAGGGGCACAATCCACGCTTCCTTGTCATGCCCTTGATCCTCGACCGACCTCATCGCCTCAACTGCAACGCAAGCAACCGAGGCTGCAAGCGTCGCAAGGGCATCGAGGACGGCAGTTGACACGGCTGCTGCAGAAGATGACGCGGCAGCAGACGAGGCCGTGGCAGCAGGGACCGAGTTGGCAGCAGAAGTTGCCATTGCCGTAGAAGTTCCTCTCGCAACAGATGTTGCGCCCGTCTGCCACTGGGTTCGGTCCACATTCGTGGAGGCATCCCACAGTATAGATAACGTGGCGGCGAGTCTGACTGCGTGTTCTTCTGTCGAATAGCCGTTTTCACCCTCCACGCCTCCCACGATCTTCTGCCACGCAGTTATTCCAACACCAGCGCAGGCAGCTACCTGAAAGCCATCCCCCTGCTGCTGCCGATGAGCCGTGTTGGTTTGAACGAGTGAGTATCTGCACAAGCCATCCGTGTCGGAAGATCAGAGCCATCGAAGTTTGCGTGTTTAGAAGTTGCAACTGTCCATCACAAGAACACTCACCCGTCCGGTTTGTGGAGGTGGAGCTCGTTGAGGACGCTCCACACCCCTGTTGGAAGCCATGTGGTGAAGTCGAGATCTTCCCGCCACTTGTTTATACAGTTTGGATTTATTCCGTATGCCTGCATGTCAATGTTCGGGAAGAAGAACTTCCAGCAGACTGCGACCGTGTAAGCCCTCTCCCACACCGTTTTGTGAGAGCTGAGGTTCCGCTTCCGGCCGCCGACGGTCTGCTCCGACGTCCACTTCTGCAATGCTCCCTCGCCCCGTTGAGAGAACCCGCTTTTCCTGAAAGGCAGGCGGACACCCAAAGTCTTACCCTTATCGTCCACTTGGGCGTTTCTCCTATTGTCGCACTTGTCGATCTTCATCCCTTTAATTTCCCCTGGGGTTATCGGTATCAACTCCTGTATACCAGCTGCATGCCGTCTCTTAGCTGCATGACCCTCTGGCTCCCTGTCCTCCTGCCTAGGCCGCCTCCTGGACACCTCTACGTTCTGCTCGTTGGTTTGAACGAGTGAGAATCTGCACAAGCCACCAGTGTCGGAAGATCAGAACCAGTTCGCGTGTTTAGAAGTTGCAACTGTCCATCACAAGAACACTCACCCGTCCGGTTTGTGGAGGTGGAGCTCGTTGAGGACGCTCCACACCCCTGTTGGAAGCCATGTGGTGAAGTCGAGATCTTCCCGCCACTTGTTTATACGGTTTGGATTCATTCCGTATGCCTGCATGTCAATGTTCGGGAAGAAGAACTTCCAGCAGACTGCGACCGTGTAAGCCCTCTCCCACACCGTTTTGTGAGAGCCGAGGTTCCGCTTCCGGCCGCCGACGGTCTGCTCCGACGTCCACTTTTGCAATGCTCCCTCGCCCCGTTGAGAGAACCCGCTTCCCTGAAAGGCAAGCGGACACCCAAAGTCTTACCCTTATCATCCACTTGGGCGTTTCTCCTATTGTCGCACTTGTCGATCTTCATCCCTTTAATTTCCCCTGGGGTTATCGGTATCAACTCCTGTATACCGGCTGCACGCCGTCTCTTAGTTGCATGACCCTCCGGCTCCCTGTCCTCCTGCCTAGGCCGCCTCCTGGACACCTCTACGTTCTGCCCGGGAACAATAGCCAGGCCATCTGCTACATTCGCCTCCCCGCTCACTTCCAATAGCACCATCCCCAGGCCATTTGCTATTTCCTCCTTGACTCCCTCCCCGGTCCCCTCCCCCTGCATGGTCGAATCCTCCTCTTCCATCTCCCGTGCCAAACGTTCCGTCTCTTCAGCCATAGCCTTTGCCTTTGCCTCTAGTTGCCGCTGCTGTTCCGCGTAGGATGCAAGTCTGGCCCTCTTCTCTGCTCGGCGCTGCTCCGTCTTCTGCAGGCGCTCCATCTCCTGCGGTTTCTCCCTCTGCTACCGCTCAGCCTCTTCTGCCTCCTTCCTCTGCGCCTCCGCCTTCTGCAGGCGCTCCATCTCTTGCTGTTTCTCCCTCTGCTGCCGCTCGGCCTCCTCTGCCTCCTTCCTCTGCGCCTCCTCCTTCTGTAGGCGCTCCATCTCATGCAGTTTCTCCCTCGCCTGCCGCTCGGCCTCCTCTGCCTCCTTCCTCAGTGCCTTCTCTTTCTGCAGCTGCTCCATCTCCTGCAGTTTCTCCCTCTGCTGCCGCACAGCCTCCTCTGCCTCCTTCCTCTGCGCCTCCTCCTTCTGCAGGCGCTCCATCTCCTGCTGTTTCTCTCTCTGCTGCCGCTCGGCCTCCTCTGCCTCCTTCCTCTGCGCCTCCTCCTTCTGCAGGCGCTCCATCTCCTGCTGTTTCTCCCTCTCCTGCCGCTCGGCCTCCTCTGCCTCCTTCCTCTGCGCCTCCTCCTTCTGCCGGCGCTTCATCTCCTGCTGTTTCTCCCTCTCCAGCCGCTCGGCATCCGCTGCCTCCTTCCTCTGCGCCTCCTCTTTCTGTCGACGCTCTCCTTCCGCTGCCTTCCTAATCTGCTCCTCCTTTTGCCGCTGCTCCTCCACCTGATGTTTCTCCGCCTTCCGCCGCTATGCGTCTACTCTCAGAACTTGTGACAACCGCTTTTCCACCTCACTTAGCATCCCCTCCTTCCACTCCTTCATCCCCGAGTTCATCTCCTTTACAACCTCCATCATCTCCTTCATTTCCGCCTCCATCTCCTTCTGCCGCCGCTCTTCGCCCAGCCGTTTCTTCTTCCTCCGCCGCTCTGTGGCCTCTGCTTCCTTCCTCTTCTCCTCCTCCTCCTTCCGGCCTTCCTCGTCCAGCTGTTTCTTCTGCCTCTGTCTCTCCACGTCGTCTGCCTGTTTCCTCTTCTCGTCCTGCTGTTCCCGCCGCTCCGCGTCCTCCTGCCTCGCCTTCTCCTGCCGCTCTGATTCTTCTCGCAGAACTTCGCACAACCTCTCCACCATCTGGTTTACCATCCCATCCGTAATCTCCTTCATTTCTGCCTTCATCTCCTTCTTCATCGCCTCCTTCATCTCCTTCATTCCCTCTCTCATCTCCTTCTGCCGACGCTCTTCCTCCTGTTGTTGTTCCTTCTTCCGTCTCTCTGCAGCGTCTGCTTCCTTCCTTGTGGCCTTCTGCCTCCGCTCCTCGTCTTGCAGTCTATCCCTCTTCCGCCGCTCAGAGTCTTCTCTCAGAACCTCTCTCAATCTCTCTTCCACCCCCTTTAATGTGCCCTCCGCCATCCCCCCTTCCGACTTGCGAACCTGATCACTCACCCTTTGTATACTTTCCCGCAAGTTGGAGAGTCTCGTGTCCATCTGCTCGCGAAACCTGGCCGCCGTTTCTGCTTGGCGCCGCCATTCCTCGTTTCCATGGCGGACCTCTTCCAGGTTGGCCAGGGCGTCACGGCAGTAATGGACTGTCAGATCGGCCACGTCACGACTGATGCTGCTGTTGCGGGCCGCCAAGTTACAGAATGTCTGCGTTACCATTCGGGCTAAGAGCATCAGACGACGCGTTACCTCTGCCGGTCTTATGTCCCAGCTTTCGCCCTCGACGAACCTGTCACCATGTTGAACCAGGACTGTACTCGTGCGCCGCAGCATCTGCCGTATTGCCGCCTCTGCCTCGACCCACTCTACCTCCTCCCACGCTTTTGCCACCCCTTCCTGCCCGAGATTGCTGTCCTCTGCTCTCTGGTGAAGGTTACGCATTCGGTCAGCCCGCCTCTGCCTTGTGAGATCCACTGTATCCCTATGCGCCCCATCGTCTGCCACCCTCCATGCCCCCTCTACCCCAATTCCTGGTTCCCGCGTCGGACTTCCTCCCAAAAACATCCGGACTTCCGGACGTACCGTATCCTCCTCAGCCTGCTCCTCTTCTGTTTCCAGCGCATCTCCCTCGCTGTGCCTCACTCCAGCCTTCGGGACCACACGAGCCTCCTCCATAGTATTTTGACGCTCTGTCTCTGCCATGCTCTGCGTCTCTCGGTATGCGAATGCCTGCGACACTGCCTCCTCGTTATGCTGCCCCTCTGCCTCTGCGATGATGTGCTCCTCAGCACCCGCCGTATCCTGTCCCTCTGCTTGTACCATTTTATGCCCATATGAACCCTTCTGCGCTTGTCCCTCTGCCTTCTCATGCTGATCTGAGTCCGCCGTTTCCCGCTCCTCTCCATCTGGCTTCTTATGTGCGTCTGCCTCAGCCTGCTTCTGCTCCTCGACCTCTGCCATCTTCTGCGCATCACCCTCCGCCTTCTGCCACGCCTCTACATCAGCCTTCTTCCGCGCTTCTGCCCGAGCCAGTTTTTGCGCCTTTTCCGCAGCCTGTTTCTGCTCCTCTGCCTCCGCCTTCTGCCGCGCCGCTGCTTCTGCCTTATTCCGCACCTCATCATCCGCCTTCTTATGTGTGTTACCACCTGCCCTCTTCTGCGCAGCTGCATCAACCTCCTTGGGTGCAGTTGCCCCCGCCCTGTTTTGCGCCTCCGCCTCCGCCTTCTCTCGCGCGTCTGCCTCAATGAGATTCTCCGCCTCCGCTGCCGCCTTTTTCAGCGCCTCTGCCTCCGATACTGTCCTCGGCGCCGCTGCCACATTCTTCTGCTGCGCCGCTGCTTCTGATTCCTTCTGCGCCTCTGCCTCAGCCGTTTTCGGCGCTGCTGCCTCATCCTCATGCTGCGCCGCTGCCTCTGATTCCTTCTGCGCCTCTGCCTCTGCCATTTTCGGTGCTGTTGCCTCATCCTTCTGCTGCGCCGCTGCCTCTGATTCCTTCTGCGCCTCTGCCTCAGCCGTTTTCGGCGCTGCTGCCTCATCCTTCTGCTGCGCTGCTGCCTCTGATTCCTTCTGCGCCTCTGATTTAGCCATTTTCGGCACTGCTGCCTCATCCTCATGCTGCGCCGCCTCTGAAACCTTATGCGCCTCTGCCTCAGCCATTTTCGGCGCTGCTGCCACATCCTTCTGCTGCGCCGCTGCCTCTGATTCCTTCTGCGCCTCTGATTCAGCCATTTTCGGTGCTGCTGCCTCATCCTCATGCTGCGCCGCTGCCTCTGATTCCTTCTGCGCCTCTGCCTCAGCCATTTTCGGCGCTGCTGCCTCATCCTTCTGCTGCGTCGTTGCCTCTGATTCCTTCTGCGCCTCTGCCTCAGCCGTTTTCGGCGCTGCTGCCTTATCCTTCTGCTGCGCCGCTGCCTCTGATTCCTTCTGCGCCTCTGATTTAGCCATTTTCGGCGCTGCTGCCTCATCCTCATGCTGCGCTGTTGCCTCTGATTCCTTATTCGCCTCTGCCTCAGCCATTTTCGGCGCCGCTGCCACATCCTTCTGCTGCGCCGCTGCCTCTGATTCCTTCTGCGCCTCTGATTCAGCCATTTTCGGCGCTGCTGCCTCATCTTCATGCTGCGCCGCTGCCTCTGATTCCTTCTGCGACACTGCCTCCACCATCTGCAGCGCCTTTGCATCCGACATCATCTGCGGCGCTGCCCCCGCTTCCTTCCGCGCGACTGCCTTCGCAGTCTTGACCGCCTCTGCACCCACCTTCTGCTGCGCCGCCGCCTCTGCTTCCTTCGGCGGCTCTTCCTCCGCCGTATGTTGCGCCTCTGCCTCCGCGAACCGATGGGCCGCATCCTCTGCTTTCTTGTGCGCCTCTACCTCCTTACTCTTATGAGTCTTTCCACCAACGTTGCTCTGCGCCTTCATATGCGCCTCTCCCGAATCCTCTGGGTCGTCGACGTCCTCTCTCCGGGCCTCTTCAGCCGCTTTCCGCTTTACTCTGGGCAAGCGAACATTCACGTAACCCGTATCCTCCCCGGTATGCTGCCGCACATTGCTGGCGAGCTCCTCTCCTCCTGCCACTCCCACGTGTGCCCTTGCAGCGGCTCGTGCCCCACGCTCCCATGCTTGACGTATGACTTCTGTTCCCCTGAAATACACGGTAGGGTCGGTGGCGCCATCACGGCACCGTTGCCTCTCTTCAGCCCGTCTTCTCTTGGCTTCTGCTTCTGCCGTCCGCTTATCATCAGCCGCCTTCCTCCACTTCTCCTCTGCTTGTTCGACCTGACTTGGTTGTTGTGGATCTTCTACACCCTCCTCGCCTTCATCTGCTACACTTGCCAAGTCCGTCTCCGTCTGTGCTACGCGTTCCGACGGCCTCCTAAGCCGATCTGCAAACCTGAGCTGCCTAGCCCCAGAGCTAACACGCTCGTCCGCACGGGCTGTCCATGATATCGGGCCACTCAGCAGAGCACCCCCCGGTGTAGGTCGCCGGGAATATGATATTTCCCCCACTCTTGGATTTGCATCCCGGTTTGCAGCATGAACGTCTCTCTGCCCCTCTACCACTTCTGCTCTTCTCTGTGCCGCCCGCTCCATCATATTCCCAGACCGTTCCGGTGCGCTCTCCTCCACGCGAGCCTCGTGGGTCGTCATGACAATATCCGGGGCGGGACGGAGCTGGACTCCTTGCAGGTCGTAGTAGGCCCGGCAGGTCGACTCCAGCATACTCCGGATTTCTTTCGCGCTATTTTTCCCCTTCCCTAAGTTGATCATCGGTTCTGCATTCTGAATCGCCATGAGATCCCCCCATTTGTCGAGCAGCTTGCTGAACAGATGGGTAACGTGTAGCCCGGAACCCACTTGCCTCTGTCCCTGAACCTTGTTGATCTGCGACATGTGCGTCAACAGGTGGTTGTCAGACAATCTCGAAACATTTATACAGCCGAATATCATACAGCGCTTAAATCTAAAAATAGAGGCTCCTTACCCTGCCCTCCTCCAGTATCAAATCCTCAAGGCGATTTCTCAAATCTCTCTGCACCGCTTCGGCGTGGCTGCCACCGACCCTGCGACCTCGGTTGTATTCCACATCAAGTTGTCGAATAAGCCAGCTGCAAGGCAAGGGGGTCGCAAATAATAAATCAGATGCGTCCTTACAAACCGCACAACTGATTAAGGAGTGACACTTACTCGAACACCTCCTTGGCATGGTCGGTGTGGCGATGGGTTGGGATAGGAGATTTAGGGTCGAAGTGTAGCACACGCGTACGGTACTCTCCGCGGGGATGTGCTAACAAATCTTGCGTGTTCAGCAACACCATGAGACTGATCGCCCTCGAGTCAACAACAGGGACTCTGCAGTACATCAAAGGTTGGATCAGCCAGGGTTTCTGGTGTATGCAGCCGATTTAGGAGAGCCTCATTAGTATACTCACTCTGTGATCATGGGGAGTAACACCATCTGGTAATCCAACAGCGACCGATGTTCGCTGCCGCAACTGGGCACCCGCGGGGTCGTAGTCCTCAAACGTTGTTGCTCGCTTGGTGCCAAAATCTTGATGTCTCTGCGCACACATGCATCCTGGATCTTCTCCTTGGCAACCTCACTGCATCCAAGCGTAATGTCGCGGTCGTTAGTCTAGAGCCGGTGTCTATCAAAAGAAACTCGATGCACCATAACGATAAAGTCAGCGTGCACGAGAAACCGCACTAGTATACTTACACAAGGCCGAATAGTAACATCGCCTCGTTCCATTCCTCCCTCCACGCGCATAACATCTCGTAGGACTGCTTTCCTAGACCTACGCTCAATCCGCAGCCATCCGTTACTAACAAGCCGGACATCGCTCCACTATGACGGAGACCAAGTGTCGTTATACGGTTACAACCAGGCGCTATAGCGCGGCGGGGTCGGAGCACGAGCTAGAACGAGAGAGAAGCTTGTGAAGAGGTGGCTAGCGGAATGAAGAATCAGGTTTGAATGGCCGCAATGAACCTGTTCGATGGTCCACACACTCTGTTAACAGCCCGGAACGACTGGTAGAACAGGATGAGCTATCGTCCTGACAGAAGGCGGGAGAAGGTTTGCTCGGTTCGCCCCTCGTGGAAACTCTGTTCTGCCCCTAAATCGAGGACTAGCCCATGGCCCCTTACCTCTAAGAATCTATGCTTCCACCTCTGTGCATTTTTGAAGCAGGCATTGGCCTAACAGTTGCCTCCATGTATCCCAGAATGTTCTACGTCCAGTAATGGTTGGTCGAGCGTCAACCATATCTGCTATGTAAGCATATCTCATGTTCTGCTGAGCAATGCATTTGTTCGTGTTTGCCATCGACCTCGTACGAAACGGAAAAGGGCAGCCCCGAAAAAAAAAAACGAGAGATGATGTGTGACTGGTTAATGACAGGCTGCCACGTATAGCTGTCCCGTCTGCATAGTTCCCGCCGAAACGCCTCGTGCGAAACGGCTGCGAGCTGTTACACGCGTCAGAAACCACATCCGACAGGGCCCCGATAGTATTCTAGGACGAGCACGTACAGTGTGTGATTTAATAACCAAATAAACCGTTCTAAACATGTGCATTGCATGAAAAGCACACCGACACCTTACCACTAAAATGGGGAACTTGTTTTGGGGTGATCAATGGGTGCGATGAGAGAGGACAATCAACATGGGCGCATAATCAAATGGATTTTTGGATCATTACGCTGATAAACAGATTCTAGGCACTCCAGCAAGGATATCAGCCCCCAGCTGCAGTGGAGTGGATGGAACCACACCCAAACCTTCACAAACAAATCTGAAATTCATAGGGGGGCCTACGAATATCACGTCAAATGCCCAACGAGAAGTAGGTCAATTCAGTAGAAGCCTCAATTCGGGCATTTCTACTCAGAAATCTGCACCCGTCTGAAAAGGAGAGCATGATAACACATCTAAACCTGCACAAAAAACATTGAAAATGATGAGGGGGTCTAGACTAGGTGTGATGAGAGTGCCCTATCAAAATGGGCTCATTTGCCCAAGGAGAAGTGGGTCATTTCACCTGAAACCTGATTCCAGGCAATTCTGCACATAATTCTGCACTCGTCTGCAGATGAGAGCATGAAAACACAGCCAAACCTTCATGGAAAAATCTGAATTTGATAGGGGGGGTCAGGAATAGGTGTGTTGAGAGTGCCCTATAATAATCACCCCGTTTGCCCAAGGAGAAGTGGGTCACTTCAATTGAAACCTGATTCCAAGCAATTCTGCACAGATCCACCTGGAGCAGCCTGCAAAGAAGAGCGTAAAAAACATATCAAGCCTAAAGGAATATAGGTGAATTTTAGAGGGGGATCTGGAATAGGTGTGATGAGAGTGCCCTATCAAAATGGGCTCTTTTTCCCAAGGAGAAGTGGGTCATCTCACTTGAAACCTGATTCCAGGCAATTACACATAGACATCTGCACCCGTCAGCCTGCAGAGAAGAGCATGAAAAACATACCAAACCTCAAGGAAAATAGGTGATTTTGAGCGGGGGATCTGTACTAGGTGTGATGAGAATTCCCTATAAAACTGGGCTCATTTTCCCAAGGAGAAGTGGGTCATTTCACCTGAAACCTGATTCCAGGCAATTCTGCACAGAATTCCGTACCCGTCTGCAGAGGAGAGCATGAAAACACAGCCAAACCTTCATGGAAAAACCTGAATTTGATAGGGGGGTCAGGAATAGATGTGTTGAGAATGCCGTATGAAAATCACCTCGTTTTCCCAAAGAGAAGTGGGTCATTTCACTTGAAACCTGATTCCAAGCAATTCTGCACAGAATTCTGCACCAGCCTGCAGGGAAGAGCATGAAAAACATATCAAACCTCAAGGAAATGAGGTGAATTTGATAGGGAGAACTGTACTAGGTGTTGTGAGAGTGCCCTATCAAAATGGGCTCACTTGCCCAAGGAGAAGTGGGTCATTTCACCTGAAACCTCAGTCCAGGCAACTCATCACTAGCTTTCTTGCAAGAAAAGTACACCAAATCTGTTTGCATTGACCTGAAATTGTTCTGGGGGGCTGGAACAGGTATCATAACACTAACAAACCAACACAAAAAAGACACCGCATAACACATGTGTGTGATGCCCAGAGAATGACTTTGCAAATGCTAGGAGCAACCTTAGTTGACCCAAATGTAAAAGAATGAATGAATTTTTCAAAAAAAAAACAAAATCACATCCGCTGGTAGAGGACATCAAGGAGATGCTGGAAATCTAGATTTGGGTGAAAATGATCCACTAAATATGGAGTTATGAGCCAAACCATACAGAATTTTGACTTAGCCATTTTTACTTTCTGCTTGACACAATTGCTTCAAAGTGTCAACAACAAAGTTTATAAACAAACAACTGTAGAACTGTGGTTGCGACGTCGCTTTCGTGCGACCGTCGATAATCTAAACCGGTAGTGTAACCACTCTTGCGCCCATTTCGCTGCGCCATCAGGTGGTTTGGATTTTGGAAGGTCTAGCCCCATTTTGCGCCCAATCCGAGTCCAATCCGTCTCGCCACGGGCAGAATGGAGTTTCGCCAAAAATACTGAACCCGGGAGAGAGCAGAGGATCCGAGTGCTGCTTCCGCATCTGGACCGCGCTTCCCCCTTCAGGTGGTTTGGATTTCTAGGAGACTGTTCGTGAATCTGCTGCAAGGCTCTGTTTACGCATTTTTGCTTACACGGAACAAGCGTTTCGCTGTGCACGACCAGCAATTCGTCAAAGCCTATCAACCGATCGTCAACCCTCGTCATACACATTGCACCTTCCGAATCAGTACAAAATATGTCACGCAGACTCTGTTTGTTCGGGTAGCGATGGTGCAGAACCGGTCGACACATTGGGCATGCGTGCAACTCCTGAACAACCATTTATTGTAGGATTTTTTATTCTGAAGGTACGCAAATGCACTCATAAATGGTGGGGAGGTTGTACTTACCATCTTGACATCCGCACATGCAAAGTATTCCAGCTCTCATGTCGCGTGAAAAAAAAAATTGTGAAAAACAGACAAGGAGAAACGTGATCATGTTCGTGACAAAGTAGAGTGTCCTCGTGCGTTTTACTCCTGCGCATGTAAAAAAAAGGGCACCTTTTGCACGCTCACGTGCAACATGTTTGTTTTCGACGTGGTGCGAAAGGTAAATGTCCAAGTGCATGTGCATGTGAGAACAATTTTTTATGCAAACGATACAATATGCACACCATACCACAGGGTAGGTCTGGGATGCGTGAGATAAATTGCCTTATGCGCACGGTTTTCATGGAATTTTACATGCACCAGTACCGTTATAACTATGGTGCAAATTGGTGGTGAGTAATTGAGAGCCGTTCGGACCCTTGCTGTGTCATGCGGAGGCATTTTGCACCACGTCCTTACATTTGCCCATCGTCGTCGGATCACGCCGACGAAAACGGACGAAAACGAACATTTGTCAACGTACAAACGACAAAAATGAATCTTGTGCACACTCTGAAGACATCTTCTCCAAGATTTTTTGCCTCACCAGATCATGCTTCAAAGGGCAAACTTAGTGCGGAAAACTTGCTCGTGTACAGAACCTACCATGCAATAACGGTTTCCATAGTACCCAGCAAATTGCTACTTGCAGGGTCAATGTGTTGGAAAAATACTTCTGACGAACTTGTGTTTTCTTTCGACGTTGTGCACGGATTGAGTCTGCCTTTGCGCATTCTGTTT